TGGGATTGCTCACCATCCAAGTGCTGCTATTGCAAGAAACGATCTTGTAGCAGAATGGGTGAATAATTTAAATTTATTGCAAATAAACTGCTCAAAAATAGGTAACACTATGGTTCATAAACCAATCTACTCTTTGTGAAAAAAACTCCTTTTATTTGAAGGCAGTAACAACACGTCCTATCTGCACAAATGCAAGAAGAAAAAGCTAAGTCTGCTCTTAGAGTGTACAGATGACTGGAGGAACACTATATGCAAATATGTAGTTTGGGTTCAAAATGGCAAATAGACGTTATAAAGTTGAAGATCACGTGAAAATATTGACATAATTGGATTAAATCTACTTGGTACAGTTGTTGCCAAAATTGATAATGGTTCAGTTTAGAAATTTGTTATTTTAGTTATTTTAGAAATGATAGATGCATATAACCATAGACTCTTGAAAATGTTAAATGAATATCACAGAATAGTCAACATAAACTGCTGATTTTTCATGATAAAGGAGACACGAATTGAAAATATGCCAATATGATATATGGGTAGATAGCACCTGATGAAAGAAATTCAAAAATGATCCAAGAAGAGGTGATAAACTACAAAAAATGTCCTACCCTGTTTTTGAGAGATATCTTAATAAAAGAGAGGTCTTTATTGATGTTTTGAGTGAGCATTAGCTGCATTCCTTTGTGAACTGGGTTCAATGTTTCATCTTGCATGAGAATTGGAGCTAGAGGCTTTCCTTGGAATTGTTTTTATCATAACATCTTTTATGAAACTAGAGGCATGCCAAGTCATTGTCAAAATAATTGCACCAAATAAGTTCTTCAAATGAGGGGTCTTTTCTCTAAAGTTCTACGAGTTTGTCTCTATTTATGACAGCATCTTCCTTGGTTTCTGCTACTTCCAGATGAGTGGTTACCTAGTAGTTACTGCACAGATGTACTTCTTGCAGTTTGGATCAGGATCATTTGCATCTCTAAGCCCAACAACATTTCCTATAATCAAATAGTAGACTGGAGTCTCCATGCATAACAGAGGAACTTTATCTGCTAGATATGGCGTATCAAAATCAATAATAGCTACTGGGATGATCAATGCTTAACTATTTGGGAGTATCATAGTCACTTTTTCATCCAATTTTTGATTCTCAGCATCTCTCAAAGTTGTGATTTCTGCTGCACCAACGAATCCAGTTACCACAGGCATGTTTTCAATATTGTCAGAGGGGATTTTGGCATTTAGAACAGGAATAAATTTATCACTCATTGGTATAGGCCTGTCTTTCTTGAAATTGATATAAGTTAATCTTGAGACACTTTTTGATGTAGGCTGAGCTATTTTTATCACTGCAGTTGTCATATGCTTAGATTGGGTTCTATTTCCCTTTTTGACCAGGTCATTATTAGCCCCACCCTTTTTATCTTGGCAATTCCTTGTTTAAATGTTACCACATTTGGTATGGTTGTTCTATAAAGTAATGGTACTGTGATCCTATGAAGTGGATTTAAGAAATCTTTTTTACAACTTTTTCTTCAACATGAAAGTTTCCAATGGACTCGAATCCTTGATAACCATAGAAACAATTTTAATTTTTGAAAAAATATATGTTGTATCATAATTCTGTCTTCTTCAATTTTACTTGTCAAGTTTCAGCTCTGTATCTCAGCTTTTGGTCGGAAAAAAATGATGGGGCAGATACATACTATCTGAATATGTGCGAAAATTCTACACATTGACAGCCCCCTACCCTTTTTACTGGGGGATGTCAGGGAAAAAATTTGATTTTTAGCATCCGTAAACATTGTTTTTTTTAGAAAAAGAGGTAGTTTGTATCTCTTCAGGCCTTTTTTACTCTCTAAAACACAGTTTAAAGTAGTAGAAAATATGGTTGATCTGCCAAAGCTCCCCTTTAACATGGGTGGGTCACTAGTGGAAACCAGAAATGGTCAGATGCCTCATCCTCTAATTAGTGATACGCAGGAAGGAATTGAGGTGAATCCCACTGTCCCTGTTGAGCTTGACTTTGGTCTGATTCTGTGAAAAGACATGACAGGTGTAGGATAAGTGGGAGCAGCATTGCAACAGTGAAATACCACTACTCTAATCGTTTTTTAATTCATTGAACAGGAGCGAGCCTCACAGCTCACTTTCTAGCATCAAGGCCTTGTTGGGCAGGTCAATCTGAGATGAAGATAATATCAGATTGGGAGTTTGTCCCAGTTGAATCTACCTCGGAAGAGACTGCAAGTGAATGGGCCCAGCTTTGCCAGCGATGGCAGTTCGGCAGGCAATTAACAACTGACCTAGAACTGGTACGGACAAGGGGAATCCAACTGTTTAATTAAAACAAAGCATTGCGATGGCCGGAAACAGTGTTGATGCAATGTGATTTCTGCCCAGTGCTCTGAATGTCAAAGTGAAGAAATTCAACCAAGTTACAGCGGGAGTAACTATGACTCTCTTATATTACACCTACATACACGATGGAGCTAATTTCGGCTGGACCAAGTAGTAGCAATAAGGGTGAAATACGGTGGCAGTCGGGCTTACCACCCAGCTGGGGTATCTTGCCAGGTTACAAAGCCGAAAAGAAAAGAAGAGGAACCAGCTGCCACCGCAGATGGAGGAAGCCCTCCACCTCCTAGCTAGGGAGGAAGCTAGGCTCGTTGGCGCTGGGCTGAGAGAAATCGGCTAAACCAGCCATTTAGATTATTTTTTCCCAAGTACACCATCGATCAAATCAAAGGACAGCGAGTCAAGAGTCAGTAATACAAAACGATTCTTGCTCAACTATTGAAAGAACAACAGTCCTCTGGGACTGTTGGGAGCGTCTCTGCCTGCCGAGAAGGAGTGGATCCTGGAATGTACCTTGAGCCCTCCAGTACCACCCCAGCCTTGTGTGACAGTATGAGCTGGGCGCAGGATTTGAAGACAGCAAGATCTGTGGAAGATCTGGCCTGTCTGATCGATCTGGAGTCTATAGCCCCAGGGAGACCGACAGATGAGACCAGATCCCTTATAGACAGCAAGTTTGCTGAATGGATCAAAAGCATCATCATCTCTCCTGTCACTAGGAATAAACGACCAGGTGGGATGTCAAGGAACATCGTTGGGATAAATGCTGCTAAACTGCGTAGGTACCAGTATGCACGTATACAAGGACTGTATAAACGGAATCGTGGGCGCTGTGCAGATGAAGTGCTCTCCGGTAAGTGGACTGAGGTGGCTGGCACCTCTGTGCAAATAAAAGACATGGAGCTGGTGTGGAGGGGTATTATGGAGACTGCGTCTGTCTCAGACATGCGTAACCTTGTGTCTGTCGGACCAATTCTGTGGCAGCTACTTGCTCCAGTTACAGTCCATGAGCTTGAGCAGACCCTTAGAAACTCTTCTAAGACTGCTCCTGGTCCTGATAGTATCTCCTGGAAGCAGCTGAAGGGAATATCGGCCAATGCATTGGTGAGTCACTTTAATCTTTGGCAATTGGCATCATATCAGCCAAGTCCCATGGGACTTGGGCGAACTGTCTTCCTTGAGAAGGTACGGGGATCACTCAATCCCCTGAAGCAGCGACCAATCACGATTGCGTCCAATGTAATAAGGACCTTCCACAAAATCATGGCAAATAGACTTGAGAGTACGCTGCCTTGGAACGTCTGGCAGAAGGCTTTCATGAAGGGAGACAGCATTGCACAGAACGTGTGGCTGCTGAAGAACTTGATAGAAGAGCTTAAGAATAGCTTGACACCACTCTGCTTAGCATTTGTGGATGTCAAGAAAGCCTTTGACTCTGTAAGCCACGAAACCATCCTCATTGCAGCTAGGAGGATGGGTGTACCCGAGCCAATGGTGGAATACCTGAGGGAGTTCTATAAGGACTTGGAAACGGTATTGGAAGTGGGAGGAGGGCGCAGTGCTAAGATCAAGACTGCACGTGGGGTTAAAGGGCTACTGCAATGAAAAAATGGTCCAAAATTTTATTTCCTTTTTCAATTATTGACAATCAGCTGAGTACAAAACTGAAAACAGAACCTCTATATGGTTTCTCAGTTTAAAGTTATGGTGCCTCAAAGTTCGCGATTTTGATAGTTTTCGTGCGAAAAGAATTGTCCTTCTGTGACGTCACAGTTATGATCAAGCAGAGATATCGCAATGGCGTCTGATAGCGGGAACACGAAACCTAGTACAAATCGCGGCGGAAGATCTTGTGTTGCAGGAGGACCTGGAGGCCAGAGCTGCAAAAACACAAAGTTTATGGAAGGGGTATACACACTTTTCCTGATAAAAATTCGGATTTGGGAAGGTACTGGAAGTGGGCAAGCTTTGTTCGCCGGCACAGGCCGAAGTGGCACCCTTAGTCATCATCGATCCTCTGCTCAGTTCATTTTGAAGATAACTGCTTCGCGATGAATAAAGATATCGCAAAAGAACTTGGCATAAGGAACAAATTAAAGTTTGACGCTCTTCCTACCGTCGACATCGCGAATTCTGTTGAAAAAATTAGCGAAGAGGCCTCTGCTCGGAGTACCAGACAGGTGAGACTCATTCATTTGCAAATGTAAACAAACTCTACTCGGTTTTTTTCAATGGTTGTTTGGCCAAAGTATTGTTCAACTGAATTATAGAGGGTTAAATCAAAGTTAGATTAAATTTTAAAATTCCTAATTTTTTATTCAAGATACTACGGCATTCATTAGCAACACGAGTAAGGATTCATTGGCAACAGACGCTAGTAGTGATAACGACGAAGTCCCTGCCCCACCCACTTCTTCAATCTATGTGTGTCAGTGTTTTGGAAAAAAATTAACTAAATTCGTGCAAAGCAATGTGGCGGCTGAGAGAGAAAATAAAAGAAAATAAACTAGCTGCTGACATCTCAAACGACGACGCTGAGGTAGGCCTGTAATGCTAGACATAATGAAGGGATCACAATCTGAACCTCAAAGCAGAGGTGCCATTGAATATAGAATTACCTTTTAGCACAGCTTTTGTACTTTACTTAAAACATTTCACCTCTCTCTCTTTCCAGTTTTAATTGGATGTATCTGTAATTTAAATGCATACTCATAAACTATCAAGGAGAAGGGGGTAAGATGCTCCAGCATACAAGGCCCATGGAGCATATTTCAGATTGAGGGGGCTAAAACCTTGTTGGGGGGCTAAACATGCAAAAAACCAAGATAAAGGCATTTTTGTATAGTTTGAGGTACATTTTGGAAATTATTGGGGGATGGGGGTAACGCCCCCCTAGCCCCCCTTCTGAGGTTCCTGTCATCATATCTTTGATTTTTGTTTTTTGTAACTGGACACTTTTTCAGATTTTATAAAGTGCTAGGACTGCACCAGTTGCCATTTACAAGAAGTGGACAATTATTTAATTGTACCCACATCATTAACAACTGTATATAAAATTTGAAAAAATTAAATTGTCTGTTACATATAGCATGAGGAAGAAGATTATTATGATGAGGCATGCATGGATGACACAGAAGACATTAACATGGAGGATATGGATTACCATGAATTAGAAACTTCAGCTCTTTCTACAGATGATGAGAATGATGAGGATGTTGATGATACTGATGACGATAAAGAGTTTGATGAATCAAAAAATAACATAGTTTGGTAAGTAGATTAACTTCCCAAGATTCACTTTTCTTTCAGTTTACATCTAATTTTTCATTTATCATATCAGCATATTATCAAATACAATGAGCTACAATTCTTGTCTAAAAACAGGGTAAAAGGTAATTTTATGATATTTTTATTCTAGTGTTGACAGTGACACAGGGCCTGCGGATGAACCAAAATTTGTTGTTTTCTACAGCATGCTTGTGCAAATATTCAGCCTATTCTGTTTTAATTGCAAACATGAACAACCAAAAGTTCAAGTGCTGGCAAGACGCTCAATGGTAACAGTTGTGCGGGACTGTCTTACCTGTGGCAAGGTTTACAAATGGCACAGCCAACCATTCATTTTTGGGAAGTATCCTGTGGGAAATGTGATGATGAGCTTTGGTATTCTAATGTCTGGAGTTCAAATTAGCCAAATACTTCTTGCTCTCAAGCATATGGGTTTATCTGCCATTTCTCCAAGGACATACTTTTACCATCAGAGCAAGTTGCTGTTTCCTTCTGTAACCATGCAATGGAAAAAGTACCAAAGTGATCTGATCAAAAGATTGCAAAATCTCAACGACGTAACATGGTCAGGTGATGGACCATTTGATTCCATGGGACATAATGCCAAATATGGAACGTATACTATGTTTTGCAATAGCATCTCAAAATTGGTCCATTTTACAGGTTTGTACAAACCAGCCATTGTCACTCTACCTCTAGTTTTTCTTCTAAAATGCTTTAATTGAGTAGTTAAATGAAAACTCTAAGAATGACAGTAAACATTTGGCAAATGATTATTCATTAAAAAAAATTATCTGTGCCACCATTTCAGCCCCATGCATATATATTTCTCATTTGCATCTATTTATATTTTGAATGTGGTATAATGATAAAATTCTAAGATTTAGCTGTCACCACTTTTTAATGAAGTTGATAAGAATAATTAAGTTTGAATCCTATTTAATTCCAGTCAAACCAAGCTGGTAGTAGTAACAACATGGAGCCAGTCGGGGCACAGCGTGCATTCAAGTTTATCAAGGATAACAATTTAAACATATCCATATTTGTCAGTGACCGCCACAGAACCATTGCCAAATGGATTCGTGAATGTGAACCACAAACAACACATTTCTATGATCTTTGGCATGTCTGCAAAGGCATTTCTAAGAAGATTAGAACTGTGGGACAGGAGAAAGGGAACGAAATTTTATTACGTTGGATGAAGGCAATAAAGAAGCACCTGTACTGGTCGGCCACTTCAACACAGCAAGGCTTTGGTAATCTCATTGTTGCAAAGTGGGCGTCATTGATCAGGCACGTTGCCGACAAGCATGATAATCATCCTAATGAAATTTACAAGGAATGTGCTCATGATGAACTAGAGGCACGGGATTGGATTTATGTTGGTATGTTTATATATTAATCTTTTTTGCAAACATTTCTTTTTTGAAAAGGTTCTTGGAATGTTTAATTTTAATTAAAGGAACTTCTAAGTGTTTTATGCACACACTAGTTAATTATATTGCAAATAAATGAAATTTAGACAACATTTACCAAATGTTTTCTAATTCTCCACAGGAACTCAGCCATATGACCGTCTGAAAACAATCATTCTGAACCATCAAGTAATTGAGGATGTACGCAAACTTTCAAGTGATGCACAAACCAGCTGTCTGGAAGCATTCCATTCCCTCTTGAACCAATGGCACCCAAAAATGACACACTTTTCTTGGCTTGGTACAAAGTGCAGGTATAAATGAAATATGTCAACTATTCCTCATAAATTTCAAAGTCCCTATCAATTTTTTCATTTTCATTGTCATTCAAGGAAAAAATCACAAGAATGTCACTTTTGAATAATCTACCTAAAAACAGAGCTGGATATTTGAACATATTTGGAAAAATTGTTCTTCTGTGTATTCTTCTATTCCTTCATATGTATTTACTTTTGAGTGATATGATTCTTTGAATATCAGTGAAATATCTAATTTGATAGCTTGTCATTTGTCATTTCAGGCATATTCTTGCCATTTGTCATTTCAATGAGAATGTTTTGAGACAGCAAAACCAATTGCAAGATGGTTCACTTCAATACAATGTTGTGTACCCAAAATTCAAGCTTGGAGAAGAAGTAGTTAAAGAAGTAGCTGTTCCACCAACATATAGTAAGCAGAACATTGGGAAATTGTGATCATTGTATTTCTAATTGTTGAATGTCTAATTGTCTCAAACTGTATGTATTCTGTAATATAATATCATACATATATACTCCTTTACATGACAGGATATGTGTGTGATATCAAGAATACAATGCTCTCCAGCACATTGAAAGAAATGAAATACATCTTTGACCTAAGCAAAGAACATGAGCCTGAACCGTTAGACAGGCAATTTGAAAGGAAAAAATCAAAGGCAGAAGCTATCGGACACCACCTTCAAAGAAAACAGACAGCAACGACACTTTTCCCAGATGGTATAGAAATTGTTTTTACCAAACCTGATTGTATTGATACCAGTGTTCATTTTTATAGGAATTAAATAGATAACATGCAATAAACATACAGTAAATATAGTTTAGCGTGTTGCATGTCCATGAATAATAACAAAAAATATATATAATTAAACAACAACTTTGTACATTTGAAAGTTAAATATTATTGTGACATTTGGAGCATAACTCTTTATAGGGGTAATAAACATAGAACCTTGCATAGTAGCCTAGAAAACATGGATGCAATAATTTTAACAATATGTTTACAGCAAACCAGCAATACAAACTTAAAGAGGATGAGCAGCAACAGATGAATAGCAAAAAGGAACACTGCACACGCACTTGTCGCAAATGTCATCAACCCATGAAGGGTCATCCACGAGGAAAATGTCCTTCACCTGCTTTATCTTGATAACCTGTTTGCTTGTTTGATTTTGGTATGCTTATACACTCAGATTTGAACATAGTGAAAAAAGTTTAAGAAAACCATATCATTTCTACCTTTCAAATAGATGTTCTAATTATTAGTTCCCTTTTGTGGAAAAGAAACCTTAAACTTCCTTTACCAAGTTAAAATTTTTCAAAGAATAACAGCTGACTTTTTTCAATATTATATTCAAACCCGTTCCAGAGATGACATGTAACCTTTGGATTGATTTGTTGGATATCGCGATCTTAAATCATTGTAAATGCATGCAGGCAATGGGCGAGTGTTGCTCCATCCTAGGTAACCAAACAGGTATCTTGCAACCCATCTGTAGCCAACAGCCCTCATGAACCTAAAATGAAATTCTGTATTAATTAAGTGAACCTGGGTTTGATTCTAACGCCCATTGAGTTTAATAACTTGCGAAATCTTACTATTCGAGTTTGCCTAAAGAAGTTTTTAGAAACTGCAATAGCCTGATAAGTTGTGATCCTTTATTGTGTTTGCTAATAATTTGACAGTGATTTGATGGTATTATTTGTGATATGAAATAAATTTAACCTTACCCCTTACCTTACCCCTGGTTGAAATGTGAATAAAAATGGTGAAACTGGTTATTACCCATTCTCGCTCTGATCGGCTCTTTTCTTGTATTTCTTCCCGTCTCTCCCCTTGAGTAACGGGCTCACATTTGTCAGAACCACATTACATGTCATTGACTTGTAACCCTCAAACGCTGTGATACATCGGGTGTCTTCTGCAACGCCCACCAGTTTCTCGATCGCCTCTTGGACTTCCCGGCAACATCGGTACTCCAACGAACCAGTTAATAAGTCGATATGACATTCTCCACAACGGCACCTACCAGTTGTAATAAAAACAGGACTATTTTGTTGTTGTTAACTAAGAAAAACGCTTTTGCATCACCAGAAAACTCGCGAACGAAACCAAATCAACAGAACTGACGCCACCCAAACAGATTGAAGAATCTCCCTCTACTGCCCGTATGTGCCATAAGTTAAATTGGAAACGAAAATATAAAGCCAAAACTTACCATTCTTCAACAAAATGACGGCCTTCGTAACGAGCTGCCAACGTTTCACGAGAAAGACCATCTTTGTCATCCCTGTTGTCTTGTTGTCCTCCCCCTGGCCTAGCCAACGGCTCGTCTTGATAAGGAGCAGCAGCTCCCAGAAGAACAACCCCGTAATTCTCTTCATCCGAGGTTTCCGAAGAAATACCCGCTGTCGAAATACTTTCATGGTCACTAGTATTACTTTCTGACATCTTTTTGGTGGAAATACTTTATATACGAAAAAATCAGCACCTTATCCACCAGACCGGTCAGAATTTATCAGTGGTTTGTATATGAAGTTAATCGAGGTGATCATAATTGTGACGTCACACATGGCGCGTTTTTTTCGCACGACCTGCCCACTTTCAAAAGGCAATAAAATCCATAAGAAAAATGAAAAGGTCGACGAGAAAGATACCATTGCACTCAGAAAATACTGAATTTTCAGAAAATCAAATAAAATCTGGGTCGATATTTTCATTGCAGTAGCCCTTTAAATGCAAATAGGGAAGAAAATGCTAAAACTGCTAAAAATGCCGTGACCAGGATTCGAACCTGGGTTATTGCGGCCACAACGCAATGTACTAACCACTATACGATCACGGCCCATGAAATTAAAGAAACCGCAAATAGGGGAAGCCCTAACAAAGGGGCAGGTAAACAGGAAGCATGTCCTCAGTCCCCTAGTCAGGACCGTCGCGAGGCAAGCCTTGTTGGGGGGGGGGGGGTGGACTACAAATTTACCTGATTAACAAATTATTCCCTGAAATTCTTTAGTTGCTGTCACAAACCTCTGCAATACATTTTGCCAATCTAACTCTGCATATAGTTCGCAACTTTTATTTTTATATGATAATAACGGATTTTCCTAATAGTTTTGTCCAATGTGCATATCGGGACGGGCAAGAACATAGTTACTACCTGAGGTGGCACATGGCTGCCGCCGAAGGAGCAGAAAATTTTCGAATTTTGATGCTTCCAGTTCCCTGGAAAATGCACTCTTTTAAGTAAATTTCACTAAAGCAATCTTGCTAATCCTATTGAAAATTCTTTTTTTGCAAACAAATTGAATACCAGATAAAAACAACTGGTACAATTTCGCCGTGGTCTTGAAAAATACCACGTTGTCACTTACTGATAAAGCTAGGTAACAAGCAGCACTGGTTGTAAATTTAAATCCCTTTTTCCATCTTAGCACTCCTTTTCAATGGCAAATATATCTGGAGCTCATAGTGATATTTTGTTGACGCATCTACCGAGAAACTTTACGGGAAATGGACACAAGGCAGAATTTTACCTAAAGAGGGCCTGGATTTTTAGATTCAGTGCCAACAAGGAATCTTCAAATCTTCAAATCATTAGTTTGTTTACCTTTATTCTTATCAAGAAATGTCATACTTAACCAACGGAGCAACTACCTTTGCTTGATCCTTTATTATTTAATGATAGGGAGGTCTCTGAAATACCTAAAGCGTTTCTTCCACCGAACGGATTTTACCTGAAATTTCCTACTGAGATACTATTGGGGGTGTGACACGTAACTTTCGGCATTTTAAAGTACGAAATTTCATGCAATGTTCTCGTATTCCAAAGAACCCCTTGAGACTTGCTAGAAGCTAGTCAGTTCTTTTGAAAACTGGACAGTACTGGTAAGTTGAATGGTCACTATCCTGACTATATAGTAGGACAAAATAGACAACAACGATGGAGTTCTGGATATCGTATAAACGAATACATTGTTGAGGGGTAGATGGGAACATTTATTGAAAATATGTAAAAACCCTTTTTATGGCCTTTAGCAACTATCATAATGTAATGATATCTGCTTCTCTGAATTTGGTAAAAAATTCATTTAGATTTTTACTCCAAACCCAAGATTGTTACCTTCATAGCCTGCTCCCTTTCTTTCATGGTTGAGATTTGTTCTTTATGCAGCGTCTGGTTCAGTGACTCTATTTCCATTTGCTGACGCATGGAAGCACTACCTTTAGAAATAGCCAAAAGATAATGTCAACTCATCCAACATGAAAATCATTTCAATAAAAAAATAATTTTTAACATAGAAAAATAGTCTATTTTCACAATGCTTGGATTTTCAAAAAAGGCATACTTTCATTACGGAAAGTGTTTAGAGCGCGGTTTCATATGATATTCCAAGGGACCCCTCCCTCAAACCCCCACGCCTCCAGAAGGCCACATAAGCCACGGCATTTTTATCATAACAAACAAAAACTGGTGTATTTTAGCTCGTTTGCTGTTTAAAACCCTGTCCTTTCGTCAAAATATCCACGCTAAAAGTGATACAGCGATATTCGTCAGAGAGGAAAAAATGGATAATAAATCCCCGTCAGTACAAATTCCCTTAAAGAGAATTTACAATAAAACATACTGTCACGAAGGCTGTTTAAAATACACTGACAATAATGGTAGATACAAAAGTGATGATGGAGTATTTTGAACGCTAATCACCGTCTTTAGCCTTCTGCTTTGTTTCTTCAATTCTCTCTGTTATTGACTGCATGTCTTTGGAAGCCTGGAAAGTATGCAGACAGATATGTCAAATTTTATTGTAAACTTGACTCTTTACAAAGTCATTATGCGTTGGGACTAGAATCCACAAATCAAGATATTAAGGGATATCAGAAAGGACTACCATTAAACACGGGATAGGGAGCATATCAGATGCAAGGAAAAGAACTCATTGGCAACCTTTGCCAAGCTTTTCTGCTGGCTCGCAGCTAAAAATAGAAGGAAATGAAATCAATTCTTCTGACTATATTTTCGAATATGACAGATGATAAGAATAGGGTAAGCAAGATGAAGGTAAAGCATTTCAAGGTTGACAATTGGTTAGCAAGGTTAGCTCTGCAAGGGAGAAATGAGTTATAGGACTA